TTGGCTATAATAAGAGTATCTTAAATATAATATTTGAGATATTCTTAAATATAAGAAGTGACTATAAATATTGGCCTTGAATAATGATATTGTCTGAGTTATAAATCTGGATTATATTAATTTAAAATTAAAATAATTTAATATAATTCAGCCTTTTGAATAGAATCTTACGAATAATATTATTCACATGCAATTGTCTATAAAATGTTGTCTAATCTTATCTAAATCTTATCTAACTCATAAGAAAAAACAATATCAATCAATGGTACATCGATGTCTTTATCTTGATAAATAAACTTTTCTGAAAATCCGTCGTCGTGAGGATTAAATAAGAAGGGAGGGTGTATGTCATGGCGGGGCCCGACCACCAACCAGTCGTGAAAACTCGTAATTATTTTGCGAAAAAATACCATCTCAGCCAGGAATCGAACCTGGATCTCCTGTTTACTGGGCAGGCATCTTATCCCTTCGACTATCGAAGCATGTGATGATATTTATCACAAATAACGTATTTAGAATAACACGTCAACAATACAATGATATACATATAAACGTATATTCTCTCGATCCTCACGACCGGAGGTATATGATAAAGAATCCTTTGGCAAACAGAAAGGGGTGGTGTGTAGCCGAGGTCGAGGACATATCGATTGAACGAAGCGCTATCGTACGCTGAACCTAGGTCAGTTGTCTGTCGAGACTAGTGTACCTTATTTTCAGCATTGCCCGTGAATCTTGCCCGTGGATATACATCTCGAATTCATCCTTTCCATAGAATTTTTATCTAAACACGACCAAGAGATGTACATAATGCAAGAATTCCGCAAAAAGTTTTGTACTATAAAACAAGAACAAGAACTCTTAGAGATAAAAGAATGCTTAACTGAATAGAAAAAGTCAGATAAAAAAATTATCTTTTCTTCTCTGGGCGTTAAGTTCTTAAGTTCAGTAAATCTCCTTTTAATTAACTTTTCCTACATGCAATTTTCGTGCATGTAATTATTAATGTCACAAATGAATATCAATAGGTATAGATAACGATTGAGCAACAATAAATAAACCAGGCACGAATTTGAGGTGTGTGCACATTTTCCGCAGACAGCCTATTGCGTGACCTCGCCGTTATTCGTACGGATGCATTAAGCGTGCCATGCGTTTGTTAACTTCGCGTGCACTTCGTCCTTGCACGCGGAAACTGAATCGGTACCGTAATTTTGCGGCACGCCTTTAGGAATGAATAGAATTGCGTAAAACATTTCAAAGAGACTGCGTGTGAATCTTGAACGCTCCTCACAATTGTGCTCTCTGGAGAAACACAAAAAGAAAACTGGAAAAAAATCTAGAAAGCGGAAATGTAATCTAGGTATCTTAGATATTTACGTAATGTTCATAAATGTATAAATAAGAAATCACAAGTTAAAACAATAATAATAATCATAGGCTATTATTTAATACGCAAGTAACAGATAATTAAATCAGAAATTATCTAATTGATATTGTTAAACTTGATGAAAAATCAAATTGTAAATTGTGTGTGGGGGGGATGGGGGAGGGCGTTCAATTCAAACGTTCCTAAGTAAGTCCAATTAATTAAAAATCATACATACATACATACATACATACATACATACATACATACAATCATGTACAATAAATCCACATTACGATAAGGAATTCGAGCAATTTTTCAATATAATTATCAATATTTTTTAAAACAAGATTTGTAATAATTAAAAAATACGAAAGCGAAGTTACTTTACATCTAAATTGGTTTTATTAATTCAGAATTGATTTGCTTTGCTTTCTTCTGAAAATTTCCTATTTAGCTTAAAAATCTCCATCCATTTTGAATCTTTCCATGTTTCTTGCAAAAAATGACAAAAAATAAAAAATAAAAAATTTGAATTCGAAATTTTCTCTTCAGCTAAGGTCTTTCTGAGCTATACCTGAAAATACTGGAATATTTTAACTTCGGAGTCTCGTTACGTAAATCGATCGTAACGCTCGACGGTTTCGACATCGCCGAGTTTGCGAAAGTAAACCGGGAAGACGGAATAATCGCGCTTGACTTCGGGTGACCGTAACGTCGATCGAAAGGACAGTCAAATTGAAGTGAAAGGCGCGAAGGGAAACCGCGACCTTTATCGAAATAAAATAATCGATCGGGCCACGTTTCTATTTCAAGGCTACTCTGCGGCATTATGCAGCGTTTTAGCTCGTCGACGAGCCGCACAGAGCCGCGATCTTACGTCAATAGAAGGCCCCGATAGACACACGGTGTAATAAATATAATATCATATAAAGCATCGTTATAAACGCGACGCAAACGTGTAACTACGAAATTGTCTATTACTAAAACGTAGCTTTTTAACTATTGGAATCAATACAGAACTACGTCCATTTCTCAGAAAATTTACAAATTACATTTCTTAGTAAAAATGCAGATTAATTTTGGCTTTATTAAGTAAGCTTTATTATTAGCTATCATAAAATTAATTAATTAATCAATATTTGACTTTATTAATCTCGGTAATTTATTTTCTATATTTTTTAAGTTGTGTAAATTTTTTTTCAAAATAATTAAACCGAAATTAAGATTACTAGATATTGGATACATTAATAGAGAATTGGATACAATGCGCTTGCTTAATTCGTAAATTATTAAACTTTATCGAGAAACGAAACGCATTGCTCTGTCCGTTCTATAATCAACTAATTCCATATTAATCAATATTAGATAATTAGTGCGCCTATTTCCGTGAGCCATTGCTGTTTATTCGCTCTTCAGTGAAATTAATACATCACAGAATTAATGTGTTTGCAGTAACGATTCGTATTTTATTAGAGAAAGAAGATATTAATGTGCCTATTCTATATTAATGCACAAAATTAATTAATTAATTTAAATTTAACTGATACTAGTTTATTACATTTTTATGTATGATAAAACTAATACAGAGATCTATATTTTACATCTAAATCAGAAAAGAGGATAAAATAATAAAAGTTTAAGATTAAAAAATAATTGATGACTCAGAATACGTGCAGATAATATTTTTTAGCAAATTATGAAATTTCTATGTCACGCAGATTTCTTCAAATAAGAACAAATCGAATAGGTCGATAATTCAAATAAACGGACTACAACTCTCTGTATACACGAAAGTCGCGGTCAATTGATGCGGAAATATAGGCACACATACATACACATACACAGGTTATATAACGCGAGCCAAATAATTATACGTAAACTGGCGCGTATTAACGAACTAGGAAACGAATGTGCGATTAGCATCGAGCGATATACGAAGTCATCGTTACGTTGCGCAAATAACGGACAGCTTCCTAATATATATAACTTGAGGGTATTTTTTCTCTTTCGTGAGAAAAATATCGATTCCGCAACGGCATTTTTCGGTCGCATATTTTTACCGTCTATCCGTATGATCTCTATCTCGCGATAAGACGTCACACAGATTAAATTCCTTTTTAACGTTTATACGCTACGCTTTCTACACGCGAAACAGATGTGTGATCAAGCATCAGAAGGAAAAGAGAAAAAGAGAAAATCGAAGATTGGAAAAAAGTACACGGAGCTGAAAAAAAAAAGCGCGAAAAGAATCGACTGTCAATTTTTAGCGTAACTCTCTTCAAAAACACTGTTCTTTCATTCCTCTCCCTCTTCCTCTCGTTCTCGCACCTCTCTCTCGCTCCACTTTTAGGAGGAAAGCGTTAACATATGCAGATTCGACCGGGGACCGAAAATTCGCGGGCACTCACCTCGGTGAAAAGTGCGCCGGTATCGCGGGAAAGACACATTCGATCATTCGTCCGAGCGCTCGTCTCCCGGAGCCGTGTGTTTCCGGAGGCGCGTTGGCCGCGCGTCACTCAACTCAAGTGAGTCAAATCTGCGAGAGGAAGACACGTCTCCGCACACCCGCGTCGATCCTCGCGCACCGTCGAACGTTCACTGTCTCACGCACAACAACGGACGGGCCACGTGGGCCTCCCAAAGAAGTCGAGCGGACTCGGAACGTGATTCGCGACTGTGCGAAATCAGGCAGCCCGCTCCCCTCCACTCTGCTCCTTTCGCACAATATCTCCAGCCCTCCTCCTTTGTCGAATACGCCGCGCGAGATCCGACGGTCGGGTCGGGTCGTGTCGCGCGCGACGATCGGAGCGACGTGAACGTCGCCGCGAACTCGTCGTGCGATGCGAGCTGGCTAACGTGCACACCGTCGGGGGGGAAGGCGACGTCGCACTAACGACCGTGACACGAATCGCGCGGCGTGTGACGTTGACGACGAAAGAGATATAGTCGCACGGGACGTGTTATATGTATATGTATATTATCATGTAATTTTCGCGACGATTGTTTTGCGGACCGCTGCGGACTTCACGCGACATCTGCCGATGAATAGTTGCGAATAGTTGCGAATATTAGAACTCAGAGCTGGAATCATAGAGAATCCAAGAGAATCGGAGATGCTGTTTTCTATATCTGCACCATGCTGCACCTAAAATGAGATAGATACAAGATGTTCCAATATATTTGCATATATTTGCATGTATTCGGAACACACATGCGATTGTACGGAAAAGAGAAAGGCAATTTTTTTTTCTCTGATAAAACTGTATTCACGAGAAATAGTCTTTAAATGAATGCTCTTTGTGATGCATGAATCAAAAGCAGCGTGCATTGCATATATACTATTTTGCCATAGAAAGAGAAAGGTACAATAGAGTTTCTAGCCGCTTTCAAATTTTTCTCTGCTGTGATATAACCATCATTGAAATAGCCAGAGATGATAAATAAATGAAAAAAGCCGTGCAGATTTATTTGCCAAAATTAAATATGTATCTACTATTAAAAAATCTCTATAACATTCAAATATTTTTTTTATAGTATCTGAACGGTTTAATTTTTGTTTAAAACTAAGAGTGCGTTAAAGAGAAAAAGAGAGAAAAGATAAATTCAATCTTTCAAAGTTGGCTAAGCTGATATGTTTGCATAATCGATGCAAACATGGCTGCTTCCTTAGCTAAAACGTGTATAGAGTTTCAGTGATTATTTCTTTCTTTGAAAACATTGTCATAATGATCAAAGTCACATTTTCTAGATTTACTATGCAGTATGTGTGGTATTTCGATACAATACCATTGTGAGAAATTAAAAATTATTTACAGAGAAACATAACCTTATACACTACAATGTTATCAGTATTCTTATTTTCTCTAAAACAGTGTAAAATTGAATTATAATAAAAATAAATCGTATATAAATACGTATTAATTTAGATTAAAATATTTTCTATAATATTCTCTATTATTACTATAATAATTTTACGTTACAATTTGCAGTTTACTAAAACAACCTTTCTGCAAAATTGTCAGAAGTGGCAATGCAAGAAACCATATCCTGTACAATTTGTTTCTTATACACACACAATGTCAGTGTTATCATACAACACCGCAATATTTTAAAACAAAAAAGCCAAAGGTAATTATTTTTTTTTCTTTAAAATTTTTTTATTGATATATACTTTAGGCTTTTTATCTACATGCAATTATCTAAATATTTTTATATCAAATTTAAAAATTATCTGAATAGCTGAACGTTTTTAAACAACTGAAACCAAAGAAAAAACTGCCAGTTGTGGATATATGGAATAGAATGACAGTGTCAGAATTGGCAATATCTGCAGGAAGAGATATAAATGATGTCCTAGATGCATTTTGTCTATCTGATCCACTTCAACGTTATAACCAAAATACTATTATAGAGGATCCGAATATATTACACGACGTTGTACGAAAACTTGGGGCAAAGTTTAGAGTGGTTTCTCTACCTGATAGCAAAGTGGAAAATAATACAAAAGATGATGTCGTTAAACAGTACTGATAATAGAATTAATTAAATATAACAAAATAATCTTTTTCTCAATTTCATACATTGTTTTTATTTTATTCATTAGGCCTCCACCAGACAAATCGATACTGGTGAAACGACGTCCAGTGGTAACAATTATGGGTCATGTTGATCATGGCAAAACCACTTTATTAGATACATTACGTAACACATCAGTCGTGGAAATGGAATTTGGTGGTATCACTCAACATATTGGAGCTTTCAATGGTAAAGTCCTGGTCTTATCAAATATTCACCGTATCTAATTACATTGAGAAATTTTTAATATTACTCTGATTGACAGTAACATTGAAAACGGGAGAAACAATTACATTTTTGGATACTCCTGGACATGCTGCTTTTAATATTATGCGATCGAGAGGCGCACAGATAACCGACATTATAGTATTAGTAGTGGCAGCGGATGACGGCGTAATGGAACAAACTATAGAAAGTATACATATGGCAAAGGCCGCGAATGTCCCCATTATTGTGGCTATTAATAAAATCGATAAGCCGGAAGCTGACATTGTATGTGATCTTAATATTCATAATGAATAATAGGATTTTAAAAAGTAGAGCAACGCAATTTATAATATATTTTAGATGAGAACGCAAAATATGCTTGCGCAACAAGGGATTCAAGTGGAAGCACTGGGCGGGGAGATTCAAAGCGTTAATATATCAGCTTTGCATGGAACCAATCTAGATACTTTAATAGAATCTATAGCCTTACAAGCTGAGCTTATGGGACTAAAAGGTGATCCAATGGGCTTGGTCGAAGCTGTCGTAATCGAATGTTTAACCGATCGTCGTCGCGGCAAATTAGCAACAGCTTTAATTCAACGTGGCACTCTAAGGAAGGGCGCGTTTCTTGGTAAGAGCAAACTCATCTCAAGTATAAAAGATAAAAAAAAGATAAAAATATTCCATTAGAAAAATAATTCAATTCTTCAATAGTTCAATTCAATAGTTTAATTGAGAATGAGTTTTTTTTTATCTATTTTGTTTTGATTTATTTTTAATATATTTTAATATATTTTAAAGTAATTTGATAATATGATTAAAACATTAATGAAATTTTTATTGAATAACAGTAAGCGGACTAACATGGGCTAAAGTAAGAGCTATGTTCGATCATTCCGGTAATCCAGTCATGGAAGCCAAATTATCCGATGCAGTACAAATTATCGGATGGAAAGATTTACCTACTGCCGGAGATGAGATTTTGGAGGTTGAGAATGAGAAAAAAGTACGCATGGTAATGCGATACAGGGAAGCAAAAAAAGCTGCACAGCTCGCAGAAGAGCATAGAATTGCCGCAGATAAAAAACATGAAGAATATCTGAAAGTAAGTTTCTCTTAAAGTATACTACTACAACAGTATAATATAATAACTGTAATATATTACTGTATTATTATTTATTTTGCGTATTTATATTTATATCGTATTATTATTCAATAATGATAGGAATATAAGGAACATTTGGCAAAGAGAAGAGCACTTGGCAGATATACAAAAATATCATTGCCTATTAAAAATGAGAAACCTGATGGAATTCCCAAGCTTAATATTGTCGTAAAAGGTGATGTCGCTGGCTCTGTAGAAGCTATATTGGACGTTTTTAATACATATGGAAGTGATGATAAATGTCACTTAAACGTCATTCATTACGGTGTCGGACCTGTTACAGAGACAGATTTAGAAATGGCAGATGCGTTTGATGGTAAGAATATATGCTACTGATTAATACTATTTATATATCAAATATCACATTCATGAATTTTAACATCGCAAAATTTACGCACAGCCATTATATATCCTTTCAATGTTGGTATAACGAAAGAATTGCAGCAGGAAGCTAATAAAAAAAAGATATTGATCCGTCCACATAATGTGATCTATAAACTTGTGGACGATGTTAAAAAGGAGATAAATAGTAGACTTCCGTCGCTTGACGCTGAAGAAGTGATAGGTACAAAAGAAGCATAAATCACTCATCATTATAATCGTAAATCTATCTTGACTTTTCATTTGCAGGCGAAGCCAATGTACTACAAGAATTTGTGATCACAGATAAGAAGAAGAAAGTAAAAGTTGCAGGTTGCCGGTGCGTCAAAGGCAATCTGAAGAAAAATGCATTATATCGTTTGATGCGCCAACAGGAAGTTCTTTATACTGGTAAAATCAAACTTGATTGAAAATTGTAAAAGAAAAAAGAAAGTAATATTTACGTATTCTTTTAGGGAAATTGGTATCAATGAGGCATATGAAAAACGAAACAGATACGATCAAGACTGATGTAGAATGCGGCTTGAGATTCGAAGATCCTACATTGTCTTTTAAACCTGGAGACGTTTTAATTTGTTATCAAATGTATAAAAAACCACAAGAAACTGACTGGGATCCTGGATTCTGAATGATTTAAAAAATGTTAAGGTTAAAATAATTATACATTCTTTTCGCTCGAGTTACTTATTTGATGTAGGAATGACGGAAATATTCTCAAATTAAGTACAAATTTATTTATTATTGCCTGAGAAGCGCGTAATCTTCTTTTACATTCTTTTTACATCCAGTTTTATTTCGCTTAGAGTCGAGATATCTGATTCTTGAATACAGGTCGTGAAATTAAGACAGCCAAGCTACACTGTTACAATTTGTCAGAATTAAAAGTTCGTTCACGATCCTATTTATGTGCATACATGAAATGGAATGAATAACATTCGCATAATATTCTTTTAGCGCATATACTTTTTTTCTTTTATAATACTTATCAAGCAATATACAGCAAGAAATATTAATCAAATTTTAAAAGGTAGCTTGCGATAATCTTAGTTTCTCTGCTCATAAGATCGATCTCTTTCAAATCATTGCGAAATTTTATCTTGCTCCATCTCGACGAACGTATGAAGATTTAGTTTTTAATTTTGGGTCCATTAGATCACCCTAATAAAATGTTTGGGATCACATCAAGTATTATATTAAGACGCATAAGTCTCGCGAAATCGTCGTTGAAGATGCTGGTACGCCGTAAGGACGCTACGCTTCTTCTTCTGGAGGCGGCAAGGAGTTGTTTCCTGGTTAGCTATGGTAATTTTTGTGTCTAACGGCTCGATGGGAATATTGTCATCTGGATGCACAAAGAAGGCAATGGAATGGCGGCCGCGACCGCAGTGTTCCGGCATAACTACGCGATGTCTCAGAGCTGGAAGCTGCCCGTTGGTCCAAACTGCCAATAACTCGCCAGTATTCACTAATATGGCGCCTGGAAGATGACCTACTCTAACCCATCTTTCCCCACAGGGAGTTTGTATTTCAAGGCCACCCTCGCAGTCCTGAAAAATCAATTCAATTTATAGTTGAATTTATAGTTGCTGTACATTTTATAGTCTTGAATTATAGAATATAATGACATGAATATGATGACATTTGTAATTAGTGATTTGTACATATTTATGTATATTGTACATAATACATACACATAATATTACTTTTATATCGATTTGATATTCTTCCTCAAAGTGAGCTTGAATATATAATGTTTAATAATTCATTATCTTTTATGCGCGTGTTTAACACTTCCCCTGCATCTCTAAATATTTTTATTTTTATATTTTTGATAGCGGTTAAAGCCGCTTATCATAAAGAGATTGCGCGATTGAACGTACCGAGATATCTCTGTCAGTTCCGACGAAATTATAAAGATATGTAGAATCTATGACACGTTACGCGCGAAAAACGCCGTAAAACGTGATATCTTCTAGAGGATTATTTACGCTCTCGCAGCCTTTTGTGTAACGGCGGATGGACTATAACGGGCAGTGAGTTTCAAGCCGGTAATGTAATGCCGCAATCTGCATACCTGCGCCAACAAAGTGAAAGTGCCATAGTCGCAATGGGCGCCGCATCGGGTCAGTCCTTGTACCGGTGCACCGAGTGGCGGATAGTAAAGGAGACGCAGGGTGGATTCGTTGCCAGAGTCGAATATGTGCGCGTGCTTCGATAGCAGGAAGTCGTGGGACTGTTCCAAACCCACGGATAGAGCCTACAATGGACGATATGATTTTCCAATGTTCGCTAGATTCTTCAAGGAGAGTAAACGTATAAATTATCCTTGTTAATTGATGAAACTGTTAGAATTATATTTGTAAAATCAAACAGTTGGCAAGGCCCTTCGTAAGAAAATCCCGGCCATGACAGAATTGATAAAGAAACGAGGTTCGCAGAAAGCGATAAAATAATCAAGATCTAGGAATTAAATTTACGGAAACGACACGCGAGTATTAAATAACTCGGCGATTTATTACGGTAAGAAGCAAGGTGGCCAGTTGTTTAAAATCGCGTGTCAATTCATCCACTGCTGATCTAAATCCATGAACTTCATCCTCCGGCAGAATCCGATCGCGTCCGGTTATATTAAATGCGTGGCGAAGTTCCATTTCTTCTGAAAATCTAGAAAATAAATTTTATTAGATAAAATTTATTAAGATAAAATCGTCGAGACTTATAAGTATAAGAAATGCAATTTTAATTATGGTTTAAAAAAATGTATATATTAAATAGTAACTTATTTAGAATATTATTATGCGTGTTATTATAGTTTACGTAAGCAATAAACAACTAATATAATTACGTAACTTTATTAGAAATATTTTTATCGTATGAACTGAATTCAAGCGATATATATCATCATCGAGTTACACAAATCGCAGTTAGTTAATAGACGAGATGTTCATTAAATCGAATTGCGGCAAATTGAATTACGGAAACAATTTGGGAATGCAACTTTCCAACTTACTTCTCCGTGCCTGGCTTAACGTAGCCGTGATTATCCGGCGAAACGCGCTCATATTTTGCTCGCGTTTCATCCGGCAGCTCGCAAAATGCATCTAGAGCTCTATAAGCTGCCTTCATCTGCGAACATACGAAACGTAAAGATTTAGCGAGTCTTGAAAGACGAAAGATGATCGTGACGCGCGAAACACTTTTCACTTCGACGCCACGCCATCCAGGTGTGAAGCAGACGCAACGCAAAAAGGAGAAAAAAAAACGGTTATCTACGATAAGGTGACATCTATTTTCGAATGAAAATTATTGTCCCCGCGAGAATGGAGATTCGCGTATCTCGACAACCGTAATCGCGTCTTTCAAATTTCGCATTACGCTCTTTCGGGAAACGTGAAGGTGTACATTACGAAGATATCCAGATCATTCCGGTAACATTTGGTAACGAGCAGTTTCGCAAATGGCGAATCGCATATCTTTGACCGATTGGGGATGAATTCCTACAAAAGGAGAAAAAAAAAAAGAAAGAAAAGCAAAGCACGTTGAAGAATCGATCTTTTCGCGAGAGGAACATCGGTACAAACCGTGACGTCGGTTCTCGTCTCGCAATTGTGCAAACAATCGCTCTCAAGTGAATCAGCGAGAAACGATACGCTTATAAGCGACCTATACGTTCTTTTTTTTTTTTTTTCCAATTTTCCGCGCAAACGAGTTCATCTCTGATTCAACAAACTTAACAATTCAAATTGCGATCGTCCCGTCGGAGATTTCTTTCAATCTTGATCGCGCACGCTGTAGCTTTTTTCTCCTCTTTTTTTTTTCTTTCCGCGATGTTTTAAATAATATATACACGGTAAGACACGTGAAACGCGCAGATAATTGCGCAAGGTTTCATAACACGCCGCGTTCACGGCTCGCACGAGCGCGGAGTGTCCCCGAGTGACGGGTAAATATTCGAAGAGGAAATGTCAAGAAGTCTCGAAAGAACCGTGATTCACGCAATGACGCGGTACGGCGATTTTCTCACAATTGAGCGGTATACATATACCGCCGCGAAGGATGATCGCGTACGATACGATGTGTATTCTGGCATTATCGATGGCGCAATATCGCACGCGTTCGTTACATAATGCCAGGAAAATCCACGCTGAAGGGAAAAAAACCGAGGATTATCGCTAATTCCGCCCGCGGAACAATCGTACAATATACCGCATGTCCGCGCGAGCTATTTCAATAATTGGAAATGGAAATCAATATGCGGAACGAGGTGAAAAAAAAAAATCAGCGGTTGCAGCGAGCGCAGCTTTGTTGTTCCAGCATATTCTGTTCTGCGTATTCGTTACTCGTTACTCGTTATCGCAATACAGGAAAAATTAGCCTTAAATCAAGATTGTATATTCTCATTAAACAAGAACATTATAATCTTCACATAGAAAATTTTTTAAGCTTGAGCTGATAAAAGTAATACTTGCATCAATAAAGGTTCAATCGAATCAAGATAAAAATTTTTCATAATATTCTTGCTTATACATGGGAATATTTTTCTTGATTTAAGACTATTTATTTAACTAATTGTTTTTCTGTGAAGCCACCTCGCGATTTGCGATTTGCGACAGCTGCGGCGAAAATCCGGTAAAAAATTATCGAAGACACGTGACCAATTACGTTTTCTTCATTGAACGTCGAAATCTGGAGTGTCACGATTATCATCTGAATTGGCCGGGCAAACATTAATCAATTCAATCGAGATAAAAGCGAACGATTAATCTCGCAGAAGTCGCTTTTACATATCTAGAGAAAGTGTGAAAAGATAGAAAGAGCGATCCCAGAGCCCTACTCCAACATTAATTCTATAATCTACACTGATAACCTATATTGAATGACACGAACAAGGGAAAAATCAAGTTCGTGCCAGATAAAGAACACATCTGTTAAATTTTATGATCCGAATTAGACTCATTCGGATGATCTGATTAATCTCAAGCGATAAGCGATTAATCGCGTTTTAAGTAAGCCTTCTCTGACCACCATTGATCAGCGCTCGGAGGATCGAGTCAAGATCTCGCCGAGAGTCTCAGACGATCTTTACAAAAGTATCCTTGAGAAATCGTCTTGTCTTCCTGTGGCAATGTATTTCTTATTAGCAGCACGTCTCCACATTTTTCTTTTAATGGGCTTTAACGTGTATGTTTCCCTGCGCGTGCACACGCGGGAATAATATTCTTGCGATCGACGTAGCCGCATTACTCATCGACAACATTCGTTCGCGATTGCAAGTAAGTACGGCGAATTATCGCGCGAAATTTCAATACACCGTCGTGGTATCGCCGCGTAAATTAAATTTCCGATAGCACAAATGACGGCAAGGCCATCGCGCGACGCGTATTGTGTTTATCGTGGGCCCTTGAAAACGCAACTGCTCTTTGGCCGCGACTCTAAGATATCGAATTCCAAGATAAGCTTCTTCTCGATAACGATAGAGAAAACGTTTCTTTCATTTATATAGTATTATAAAGTATGGCACTTGTACGTTTCTCCTTTTTACGGAAAGATCATTGATTAATATTAGTATAAATGTATGCCTTTTTGGCTTATTGGCTCCCTCTCTCAGGATTACAATTAATAATGTATGTTTACGAGAAATTATGCGATATAAAAATATTATACAAAATAATACAAACAAAAAAAAATAACATATCGCTCGTATAATGGACGTTTTTTTTACGTTCGATCGCCAATTTATATTTGCTATATGTAATATTATCGCAATTTCTACTTTTACTCCTTCGCTCTTTCAATCCTCGTTACACTAAACATCGCATACAATCTCCTTTCTCCCCTTTCGACCTACACTTCCATTATTTTTTATTATTTATTTCTTTTTTTTACAATCTACGATTCTGCAAATTTTTTTTAATAATTTTTCTTTCAAACTCTCTCTTTTTCTGCCTCTTTCTCTCCTGCTTCCATTCTCTCCAACTCCCTTATTAAATTTATTACAAGTTTCTTTTTGACTTTGTAAAGTAATAATTTCTATTTTCTCCTTTTTCCTTTTCTCTCAAAATTCATAATTTAATAATTTTCCTATTAACTTTCCATTACTTCTTCTCAAATTATTAATCGATATTATTTAATTAATTCTTATTGTCTTATATTTATATTTAATTAATTCTTATATTTTATTAATTCTTATGTCAGATTGGCCGTGTATACAATACAATAGCGAATTAATGTTAATAAAATTATGTATAGATAATATTTTTTTTATTAGTATGTAGAGTTGATTATTATTTTTAACCATATTTTAACTAACTTTACTGCTAGTCGCCTTTACCGTTAATCTTTCTAGATTACAATTGAAATCATATAACTTAAAAACAGAATAAAATTTATGATTTTCAAAAAAAGACCCGATTCTAAAAAAAATTCTCAACACTTTGTATCCTTAGATATTTGTATAAAATGAAAACTGTTAGAAATAATATAATTATTTTTTTTTAGACATGAATTTTGAATTCAACATTTTTAATCTCACAGAGGCGTCATCGGTAACTCAATATGTTTCAATTGACGCTTTAAATTATTTGATCACGACGGTAAGTTGCGACAACGCGTGATATCGGTTACATTTACGATCAGCGGAAATCGGCAAGACCGACAACACCGGCGCCTGATCAATCAAATGAAGCCTTGCGAATCGCTAATCGTTTTGCAAACGTATCTCCCCCTCTTTCTTATTATACCTTGCACTCTGGAATGCCGTGGTTAACGAGCAAGGCCAATCCTTTCTGAGACAGCGCCCTTACTAGTTTCGAGGCCACCTGCCTTACGACTCCCTTTTGAGGGCATCTTTCCGTGCCTGCAATAAAAGGACAAAATTTATTTAAATTTATTTAAATATAAAAATGAGAAATAAAATTGCATGGGACGAAGAGTTATTGTCCTTATTTATCATAATTACTCTTTACTCATTTTTTTAACAGCCTCATCGCGCAATTAAATTATATCATTTTTTTTTTTATGACGAGTGCGAACTTCAGGTAAGATTAAATTATTTAAAACAGAATGGAATTTATAATTTTCAATAAAAATTTTTAACGAAAGTCTCGAAAAAGTTTCTGATTCTAAAAAAAATATCGTCAGATATATTTGTATAAAATGACTTGTTGAAATGTTAGGAGTTAACATAAGCATTTATTTTCTTAGATGTAAGTTTTAAATTATAATAATTTGATATTTTTAATATTATGAAAGCGCCATCAATAACTCATACGTTTCAATTGATGCTTTATAATCATTTCTATCAGTAGCAGCTTAAATCTCAGTTTAAGCTATTCTTTTTAATTTTAAGAATTAAAAGAAAGCTACAGAGTAAGTTAAACCAAGAGATTAAACAAAAGGTAGAACGATGCCAATTATCGCGTATTGTATACAAGCAATATATACAATTTCATGATATATATTATATATATATATATATATATATATATATATATATAAATTTTAATATCGTTGTATATCTAAGTATACTAAGGCTCAGATTTCTCGAAAGATTACGCCGAATGCTGATTGCGGATTAAGGAAGTGGGATATTCAGTATTAAATTTCTCGCGACTCTACTCCCCGAGCGATATACGATCCCGATGCCGACTGCACCGATGATTGATTAAGCCTTTCGCTCAATGAGCGTTCATTGACACTGAAATTGATATTGTGATAGAGAAGTGAAGAAAATACACAAAGCCGACAGATAGATTCATATGTTTGTTGCACTTACAAATTGCTCTCAATCGCAGTTATACGTTATGACTGTAATACGTAAAGCTGTGTGTGAAGTTGACGTATCATTTTATGAAAATTTACTTAACTATTGAGAGAGTTCTGATCTCATCTTTAATTGTTCTATAGTTCTATCTGTGTTAAACGAATAATTCTTCACTAAAAATCTATAAAAATCATTGTCTCAGAACAAACCGAGACACCAAATACGAAAATAATATAGTGTGTGTGTGTGTATATATATATATATATATATATAAAAAATCTTGCGTTTATTTACGAATCAATTTTGATTTACTTAATGCATCAACGAATAACGTCATTCAGCAGGCAATGATGTTAACGGCCTTGCGTCACGATTTGCATTGTTGACTTAGGTAGTGAAAATCCAAAGCGGTTAGTACAAGCCTTAAAAGCCGATGCGAGGTCATAATTCTCGAGAAAGCCATCGTCGCCCCCGGGAGAACCTCGTGTCGTAACGAGATCCGTCCATGAGCGATGAGAAAAGAAACATATCGCAGATATACGCGTTCATATCGCGCCGGCGATTATTACATTCGCCAGGCTGTGTTCACTCGATTAGCTCTTATTCTCGGTTATGCGTTTGGCGATTAAGTTTCATTTTCAATTATACATTCGGAGCTACAAACAGAAGCCCTTTAAGCTCGCCCACAGTCGTCCACCGACGACAGACTCAACGACATAACGATTTACAACAATTCGTTTCTCTTTTAATCGATCAGTTTAGGATTAATTTGGAAAATTTCTTCAGATTTAATTACAGAAATATTTAAAAATATGGAGATATCCTTCTCTCTCAGAGGAATTTATTATTTTACGATACACGCCGTATGTGGAGAGCGTTGTACGTGCTGAAATTGGTGGAACTGCTTCGACATATCGTTGAGAAAAATATTGAATTCGGTGGAATTATGTGCTCTGATAAATTCTCCGATGTATGTAGCTGGAGTACAATTGACGTCAGCGGAGGACGTAGCACTCTTCCTACTTTGTTCGTTATTTTGGCAGCAACGATGACGCTGGCAGTCGAAGAACCGCTTTCGTTTCAGCGTCCTCGGCCACGGGCACGATGCCAAAATCGCCTCGTGCAAAAGACGAGAGAACCGCCGCCGACAACAAAGCCGTATTAATATCGCGAAACTATAAGAGAAACATTGGACTTTAATAATAGCTTCCGGATATCCAATCCTGATCCAACTGCAGCTGGTGATGTTTAATCTCGATCGACCTATTCATCTCTTTGTCACGTTCAGAAAGAAATGTTTCGAAACATCTAACGCGATGGAATCCATCTCGCCACGTGGCAGAAGTGTACACAATATCGTATTGCAGTGACAAAGAATTAGTTTATCGAATTCGTTCCGATCGAACGGTTAGCGTAGAATAAAAAAAATGTTTGATTAAATTTCTTTGTTTAAAAATGCCTTTTCATTTCATTTCAATTTGATGTAAATAACAATTTTATATAACTTGTTTTAATTTCTCCCAGTTTTACATAGCCAACAAAATGCTCATTTCTTTTTCATATAGGTAATAATAATTTCGAAAAATGAAAAATAATAACTTCCGTGAAAACGTAGAAACAACGATCACAAATTCGATCACACCAATGATTACACGATGATTATATAATATTAACCACAATAATAAACTTTCCGCGATAACAAAAAAAAAAACATTGTTAAAGAATGTCAGTGTTCAACTTCAAAGCTGACGAGCTACGAGCTGACTTGCAGGGCGGCTAAAAATATATTCGAAACTCGACGGTGGACTACTAAAGGCTAATGGCACGGGAGGATTCAAAGTCTTTAACACAAATTTAACACACAAACGGTACTTTCCCACAGCAATTGCGTATTCTCCTGCGTAGAAGATATAGAAAGGATATACATGTAACTAAAGACCGGGAGCCGTTTCTAGGGTGTACGTACGTCGCAGAGAAAATATTTGTCGGAGTTTCTCCTGGTAGCGACAGACTCCCCGATACTTTCGCCTAGAGTAACGATCGGGTATATACCGTTACCGGACATCGACTTCGAAGGTGTGCGATATGTAATCTACCGGCAAGTGCGACGTTACATATATAAATATTATAAATTTTGTATCACCGCCGTTTTGTACACCTACCGTCAGTTTTGTATAAATCCATAGTTTGTTTAACGCAACGCCGATATATAAATCCTAAATAAAAAAAAAACTTCTTTTCTGAAAAGAAAGAGAGCTTCCTCTCTAATTTGATTCAAAATATTCAATTCCTTTCCTTTTCACATTTTCCGAAGTGTTATAAACATGTATTTCAAGTTTTTTTACTGCTAAAAATTGCTAAACTAACTTCGAATAGAATGTATGACTCTAAAAATCGACATGTGTAATATTCATTTTCTCAGTGAGCTCGATAATATATAGATAATAATACTGAATAGTAATACTAAATTATTATCTATATATTATTATCATATTATATTTCAACACGGTTAAATTTCAAAGATCAAATATTTTGAAAATAAAATATTTTTTTTCTTCCGTTCCGAAACTTTGGGGACACATTGTATATTTGTGTACACATATTTGACTTGGATATCTGAAAAACTCGAACGATAAACAATTAGAATCTCAATTTGCTCTCATAATCTTCAAAGCATACTGTATTAATCTGCGTCTAGATAAAATAGTATCTATATTCACTGAAAAGGTCATCTTATCATTCTAAAAGTCCATTATCTAATTTTTTTTTAAGAATATAACTCTCACACACACACACACACACACACGCGCGCGCGCGCGCGCGCGCGCACACGTGTAAAAAAATCATAAAAATCCAATTAATTTTTCCTATCACTATATAATTTTTCCTATCACTATAATAGAAAACTCACTTAAAAGATATTGCATGTTTCTGTAAATAATCGAAAACTTGAAATACATTTCTTCGTAGCATACGTAATTTTTTAGAGAAACGCGAGAAGTCTGCTTTTCGTGAAATTATATTTTATATTTGCTGCGTATAAATGACGTGCAAAAATCGCATAATAAAACATCTCCATTGAAATTAGGAAAAATAATTTGATATAACAATATAGAGACGATAAGGAAAGATTTCGATATTCGATAATATCCAATTCATGCATTTTGCATGCTGTATGTGTCAAATTTGTGTATACATTTACATACATAAGCAAAGTTTAGCGACATTTCTCTTTCTCAGATGTTTTGACTTTCAAATTTGTACTCATCAAAACGATCGGAATAATTAGAAAAGATATTTTTCATTCGCAACATGTAATTCAACGATATAAATTTCCGCAAATTTTCACCGATAGTTTGCAATTCTTCGCATGTGTGTAAAAATAGTTGCGACACAAATCGCAATCTCAATGTATTGTTATCAATTCGATGTTGCCAACGTCAAACTTTCATACTGCGTCATTCCGCCTATCAGGATGTTTTCAGCTTTTTGTATATCTTTTTACTGATTTTATTTTGAGATTACTGTTTATTGTAAGTTCGAAATTAACATGAAAGAAAAAGTTTTAAAATAACGGAGCGTCAAGATGTCAGGCGCATTTCGCAATTTTTTATTATACATGTTCAAAATGTCAAAATAAACTAGAGTAGTGATCGTTCCCTTTTGAACGGATAAATTGATTTACATTTCGCTTCATTGACATTCTCGATCGTAAAAATAAACTCGCGTTCTCACAGATATCGCGAATCCGTCTCATGTTTAATATGCACATATGCAGATTTGCGTGACATCTAGATACCAACAATCCGTTGTGATTTTACGCACGTGTAGCTGTAATTATAATCCTGTAACTTCTATCCTATATATTTTTATTTCGCATTTTTATTTCTATATTGCCACCTTCTCCCTTTTTTCGCGTCCCGTTGCAAATTTCGCAAGTTTGGAGAAAAGAGAAAATAAATCCCTCTAAATTCCTGTCACATTAAAATTTCATAATCCAAATAATATGATCATTCGCTTTCTGTGTCGTGTATGAGCTAACAACGTATAGATATATGCATATAGATAAAGAGAAAGAGATAAAAAGAAATCAG